GCTCAGCGCTTCTCTCTCCTCTACAACATCCTCCACAACATTCTCCTTGGTTATGACAACTCGGTTATCATGGCCAATACCCTCAAGGATCTCATCGAGGTTCTCCGAGACCCCGAGCTTCCTTACAGCGAGTGGAACGCTCAGTTCTCTGCCCTCCACTCCCGTATGCCCCAGAAGCTCGATGCTCAGTTCACCCAGATTATTGAGCGCAGCAAGTCCCGCAACGCCGAGTTCCCCGCCAAGGCTCTCAACAAAGCCTTCAACAAGTTCCTCGAGGACAACGTTGATGCCGCCGATGCTGACCTCCTCAAGGCCACTCTCGCCCCTCTGACCGAGGTTATGGACATGTACGCTGAGGGCCAGAAGAGTCGAGAGCTCAACGTCATCAAGGGTCTCTTGACACAGTACTGGGAGGTTGAGAACCTCTTCATGAACCAGCCTCAGGAGGATGCTGTTGTCCTGCAGCTCCGTGACCAGCACAAGGATGATATCATGAAGGTTGTCCACACTGTTCTGTCTCACAGCCGTGTCAGCTCAAAGAGCTCTCTCATCCTGGCTATCCTTGAGGAGTACCGCCCCAACAAGCCCAAGGCTGGAAGCGTCGCCAAGAACCTCCGCGAGACTCTCCGCCTGCTCACCGAGCTCCAGTCTCGACCTACTTCCAAGGTCTCCCTCAAGGCTCGTGAGATCATGATCCAATGCGCCCTCCCCTCGCTTGAGGAGCGAACCTCTCAGATGGAGCACATCCTTCGTTCTTCCGTCGTTGAGTCGCGATACGGCGAGACTGGTTGGGACCACCGTGAGCCTAGCTTTGATATTATCAAGGAGGTCGTTGACTCCAAGTACACTGTCTTCGATGTCTTGACCATGTTCTTCGCCCACGATGACCCCTGGGTGTCTCTGGCCTCTCTCGAGGTCTATGTTCGCCGAGCCTACCGTGCTTACATCCTGAAGCAGATTGAGTACCACCAGGACGAGAACGACAACCCCCAGTTCGTCTCTTGGGACTTCCAGCTCCGAAAGCTTGGCCAGTCTGAGTTCGGCCTTCCTCTTCAGTCTGCTGCTCCCTCCACTCCTGCTACCCCCAGCGGAGGCGAGTTCAACTTCAAGCGAATCCACTCCATCAGTGACATGTCCTACCTCACCAGCAAGTGGGAGGATGAGCCTACTCGCAAGGGTGTCATCGTGCCTTGCAAGTACCTCGACGAGGCTGAGGACCTCATTAGTAAGGCCCTTGAGACTCTTGCTCACGAGCAGAAGCAGAAGAAGAAGAACACCCCTGGTCTGATCCCCGACCTCAGCGGTAAGCGCAAGCCTGCTCCTCTCAAGCAGAACGAGGAGGAGCTGTCTGCTGTCATCAACGTTGCTATTCGTGACGTTGAGAACCGTGACGATCGCGAGACTCTCGAGGACATCCTTCCCATCGTCGAGCAGTTCAAGGATGAGCTCCTTGCCCGTGGCGTTCGCCGTCTTACATTCATCTGCGGTCACAGCGATGGCTCTTACCCCGGATACTACACTTTCCGTGGACCCGAGTACAAGGAGGACGACAGTATCCGTCACAGCGAGCCCGCTCTTGCTTTCCAGCTTGAGCTCGCTCGTCTCAGCAAGTTCCACATCAAGCCTGTCTTCACTGAGAACAAGAATATCCACGTTTACGAGGGTATGGGCAAGAACGTGGACACCGACAAGCGATACTTCACTCGTGCTGTCATTCGACCTGGTCGTCTCCGAGATGAGATCCCTACTGCTGAGTACCTCATCTCTGAAGCTGACCGTGTCGTCAACGATATCTTTGACGCTCTCGAGATTATTGGCAACAACAACTCTGATCTGAACCAGGTCTTCATCAACTTCTCTCCTGTGTTCCAGCTTCAGCCTAAGGAGGTCGAGGAGAGTCTCCAGGGCTTCCTTGACCGATTCGGTATCCGTGCTTGGAGACTCCGTATCGCCCAGGTTGAGATCCGCATCATCTGCACTGATCCTCAGACTGGCGAGCCTTACCCTCTCCGTGTCGTTATCACCAACACCTCTGGTTACGTTGTCGATGTCGACATGTACGCTGAGCGCAAGTCTGAGAAGGGCGAGTGGGTCTTCCACAGCATTGGAGGTACTCACGAGAAGGGTCCCATGCACTTGATGCCCGTCTCTACCCCCTACCCCACCAAGAACTGGCTCCAGCCCAAGCGTTACAAGGCTCACCTTATGGGAACTCAGTACGTCTACGATTTCCCCGAGCTTTTCCGACAGGCTATCCAGAACACTTGGGTCAAGGCTGTCAAGGCTCAGCCCAGCCTGGCTTCTCAGCAGCCCAAGACCGGTGACTGCATCAGCTTCACTGAGCTTGTTCTCGATGACAAGGACAGCCTCGATGAGGTGAACCGTGAGCCCGGTACCAACACTTGCGGTATGGTTGGTTGGATCTTCAGGGCCCGCACCCCTGAGTACCCCAACGGCCGACGCTTCATCGTCATTGCCAACGATATCACCTACAAGATTGGTTCATTCGGTCCCAAGGAAGATGACTTCTTCTACAAGTGCACTGAGCTTGCCCGCAAGCTCGGTATCCCCCGTATCTACCTGTCTGCCAACTCTGGTGCTCGTCTTGGCCTTGCTGATGAGCTCATGGGTCACTTCAAGGTTGCTTGGAACAACCCCGAGAAGCAGGATACTGGCTTCAAGTACCTCTACCTCGATGAGGAGACCAAGACTCGCTTCGAGAAGGACGTCATCACCGAGGAGGTTACTGAGGACGGTGAGAAGCGACACAAGATTGTCACTGTCATCGGTAAGGAGGAGGGTCTTGGTGTTGAGTGTCTCCGAGGCTCTGGTCTCATTGCCGGTGCCACCAGCCGTGCTTACAACGACATCTTCACCGTTACCCTGGTCACTTGCCGTTCCGTTGGTATTGGTGCCTACCTTGTCCGTCTTGGTCAGCGTGCTGTCCAGATTGAGGGTCAGCCCATCATCCTGACTGGTGCTCCCGCTCTCAACAACCTGCTTGGTCGCGAGGTCTACACCTCTAACCTTCAGCTTGGTGGCACTCAGATCATGTACCGCAACGGTGTCTCTCACATGACTGCCAACGACGACTTTGCTGGTGTTTCCAAGATTGTTGACTGGATGTCATTTGTCCCTGAGAAGCGCAACAGCCCCGTTCCTGTCAGCCCCAGTGTTGATGACTGGAACCGTGATGTCACTTACTACCCTCCCCAGAAGCAGCCTTACGATGTCCGCTGGATGATCGGTGGTCGCGAGGGTGAGAACGGTTTCGAGTCTGGTCTCTTCGATAAGGATTCTTTCGTTGAGGCTCTCGGTGGCTGGGCCAAGACTGTTGTCGTTGGTCGTGCTCGTCTCGGCGGTATCCCTATGGGTGTCATCGGTGTTGAGGTCCGATCTGTCGAGAACATCACTCCTGCCGATCCCGCCAACCCTGACTCTATCGAGCAGGTCAGCAACGAGGCTGGTGGTGTCTGGTACCCCAACTCCGCCTTCAAGACTGCTCAGGCTATTAACGACTTCAACAACGGTGAGCAGCTTCCTCTTATGATCCTTGCCAACTGGCGTGGTTTCTCTGGTGGTCAGCGCGACATGTACAACGAGGTTCTCAAGTACGGTTCTTTCATCGTTGATGCCCTCGTCAAGTACGAGCAGCCCATCTTCATCTACATTCCTCCCTTCGGTGAGCTTCGTGGTGGATCTTGGGTCGTCGTCGATCCTACCATCAACGAGACTGCCATGGAGATGTACGCTGATACCGAGGCTCGTGGTGGTGTCCTTGAGCCCGATGGTATCATTGGTATCAAGTACCGTAAGGACAAGCAGGTTCAGACCATGGCCCGCATGGATCCTACCTATGCTGGTCTCAAGAAGCAGCTTCAGGACGCTAGCCTGTCTACTGAGCAGACCGACGAGATTAAGAAGAAGATGGCCGCTCGCGAGAAGGAGCTCCTGCCTGTCTACTCTCAGATCGCTGTCCAGTTCGCTGATCTCCACGATCGTGCTGGCCGCATGAAGGCCAAGGGTGTTGTCCGCGACGTTCTTGAATGGACCAACGCCCGACGCTTCTTCTACTGGCGTCTTCGCCGACGTCTCAACGAGGAGTACATCCTGCGCCGCATGACTTCCACCATCATCAGCACTTCGCACAACCAGACTGCTACCAAGGATAAGGAGACTCGTGACAGATACTTGCACCTTCTCCGCAGCTGGTCCGCCATTGTTGACTGGGACAAGGATGACCAGGCTGTTACTGAGTGGTACGAGACTGAGCGCAAGACCATCAGCGAGAAGGTCGAGGCACTCAAGTCTGAGGTGTTGGCAGCTGAGGTTGCCACTGTTGTCCGAGGCCACGCCAAGGCCGGATGGACTGGTGTTCGTGAGGTCTTGAGAGTTATGCCCGTTGAGGAGCGGGAGCAGATTCTCAAGTACCTCCAGCAGTAAAGGAGATGGAACACATTTGAGGAGGTTTTATGAAATGGGAGCAATTCCCGATATGTTTTTTTTACTGGCGATTTATGTTACTCATGGTTCATGTCAAGTCATTAAGACGTTTAGAAATGAAAGGATCATAGACGGGGGAATGTGTATAAGGCGTCTGGTACTGGAATAGTTTCGATCTGGTCATATCCAATTTATTTGTTCAAGTTTAATTTTGGTCCCATTTGTGCAGCTGTGAATGTCACTCGACGATTACTTTTCTTAGTGAGAAGTGTAGAGACCACAGTCGAGTAAATTAGTAGACAGATCATCCTCCTGCACGGTATAGTCATGGCTTAACATCTTCGGCGACATAAATTAATTACACAGGATCTACTATCTTGAACGTTTTCCTAGCTGGCAATTCTAAGCGCTAAAGAACAGACATTCGAACCGCGAAAACAGCAAGTAAGGGTATACGATATTTTACACCTTCTGCTCTATGTGTCTCGCTTAAATAAAATAAAAGAACCACGACCAGTTCCGCCGCTGAACGTTTTCGCGGGAAAGACTTCTCTCGATCAATTTTCGTTTTCCTCATCGTTATTCCGAGCTGGTCGCTTCCCCTCAGGAAGTTTCTCACACACGACGGCAAAAGCCGCAGCAAAAGGTATGAGCACCGCCCAAGCCAGGTAACCCCTGAAGATCTGGCCTCGAACACCAATAGCGAAAATAGATGTCGCAACACCGGGGACAATGGCTCTGATGCCGCTTGCCAAACTCAAGGCGAGTGCATTCAAGGTGCCTACGACATGAGGATCTGGCGCAGCATCGTTCAGGGCCAGCTGTACGCCTGTGAAGGCCATGGAGACACCGGGTCCAAAGACAGTGACTACCGTGGCTAATATCCAGAAGCCAACCATAGAGGCATCCGTGTGTGCGCGTAGGAGCATGTTGATGATGACGAAGCCGACGAAGAACCACGGGTATGAGTATCCGCAGAGTTTCATGACACCACGCGTACCCCAGCGTTTATGGAGTAGGGGAAAGGCGAAGAGGAGCCACAAGGCTTGACTGGCTCCTTGGACAGCCATGTATAGGGAGATCTCGAACGAGTCGAAGCCTGTGCCACCGAGATCGATAGGGGTGTAGAGAACAACAGGCAGAATGGCTGTGAAAGCAAAGGCGAGGAACATGGCGTGGCTGTAAGCCCAGAGAGCGATGGCCACGGAGGGAGACTTGATGAGTTCCCATGTTGATTGCTTTGGCTGATCGCTGCTTTCGCTGTGTGAAGCTTTGGGCTCGTGGAGTGTCTCCTTGAGAAGGAAGAAGCTAGTGATGCAGCCTGTAGAGCTAATAGCACCGACAACAATACCTTGTAGTGCATAGGGATAGTCGAGGAAGAATTGAACATTTCCAAAGGCTCTGGGCCACTGATGCGCCGGATCTGCCAGGGCGCCACCGATAATTGGTCCCAAGAAGATTCCAACGTTTCCGCCAAAGGCAAACCAACTGAACGCCTTCGCCTGCGTCTCCGGGGTACTCAGCTCAGAGATCATGGTCCTGATAACAAGACCCGAGCCTGAAAAGACACCAGCCATACATCGAAAGAGGATCATCTGCCAGATTGTCTTTGACATTCCGAACAAGACAGGTCCAACAGCCGTGCCGAAAAGAGTGATGAGAAGAACCGGTCTCCGCCCAATCCGATCCGCAAGACGACTCCAGCTGAGCAGCACAACCATCTGCGTAGCCGAAAACAACGACTCAATCAAACCACTGTAGAAACCCACGTCACTTTTGGGTAAATTGCCATTCTCCTGCACCATCTTGGCGATAAAGGGAAAGATGGAGAAGAACGCGATAGGTTCCATGACCCGTGCATAGCATAGCAACAAGATCTGAAGCGTCGGGAAAGGCTTGTCCAACGGCTTCGGCGCATCCGCAGCGCCATCACCGGTGCTCTCAACGGCCCCATACTCGGAGCCGGACGCGGTGCCTACGAGAGTGGAAGCTTCGGTGTCGGCGTCGGGGGCGAGTTGGCCGCCGACTAGCAGAGGTGTTGTTTCCGCAGCATCTCCGTCTGCAGGCATGATGTCGCGCAGGAGTGAGAATGCGACACGCTGCTGGATTCTCTGATGTGATAACAGATGGTTGTTTTCTCTATGACAAATGCCAAGGAGTGGAAACTTGGTTGTGTGACAGCTGACCCCTGGCCTCGTTTCTGCAGTTGCGCCTCAGATCGAATGATGATCGCGATGTCAGAATGAGATTACGTGCAACATGTTTGCGACAGTTTTTATGGATCTCACTCGAAGGATCCTGAGTTTCCTATTCAGGTAGTTCTGGAGAGTCATCATCTCCAGTCGGTCACGTGCTTCGCGGTGTAGGGTAGACAGGCTGGCTTAGCATTCCCAACGTAAGTCCATTGGGCGGCGTAGACATTGGAAATGAGCGGAGGCAGCTAACTTGATAGGGAACTCCGCTTCTCAGATAACCTCAATCTCCTCCAGTCTGTCATTGCCCAATTGAAAAGACTACAGGCAGCTTGTCGTCAAAGCGACGAAGATATATGTATAACAGACTGTACCCTGCATATACAACGGATCTATTCCGCGGTGCTTGATCGCGATACTTTAGGCAAGTCAAGGAAAGTAGCTGAATCGCTGAGATGAGAATAAATAGCCGCGACAACCACAGCGAGTCAGCAACGCTGATGACCAGGTTAACCCTTGATATCGAGCCACACAGCGACAAGTCACAAGGTAACATCAAGCACAACAAACTCGCCAGCCTTGCGGGCTGCCACAAATCAAACAAGTGTGCAACCGCTTTGACGTGAGCTAGATAGCTGCAAATGTTACTCTACCGCGTCTGAGCGCCGACGTTGCCGAGACTCCCCTATTGTTTGATCCTACCTATCGTCAAGTCAACTGTCGACATTGCAAACTACAGTATGTGCATGTCGGCCCTTCCGTAGCTGCAAACTGATGGCTTCTTCCTGTCCAACGGGTTTAAAACTCGATCAACGTGATTGGCAGCCGTATCTTGGCGATTTATCAAAGAGTTTCTTACTTTCTTGGCACCGATCAAACGGTGCGGAGGTCCATCTGGAAGATCCGGCGCGTATGTCCAGGGTTCTATAAGACAACCCTCTAGTGTTAAGATCGACATAGCTGAAGTGTATTTTTTTTCTGGCTGATGTCTCGCAGACTTTGTTGGCTGGTAGAGTAGATCCAAAGACATTCCGTGTTACATCGAATGAAGATCTGTGGCAGAAATCAAGTTTTTATTATTATCTCGGTGTGTAATTTCTACCTTGATCGTGGGGTTTGTATATGCACTTTTTATGGCTACGGTGTTTTTGAAACACCGAGACAACACAACATATTCTTGTTCATATTCATAGAGGTTGTCTTTACTCTTTCCTCATTAGTCTCCAAGATCATGTTTAATGCCGCAGTTGAAACACGGTTGCGGCCCAGCATTGCAAAAAACTTGAATTGATATTCGCAAGACTGACCCAACGAGGTAACGTCAACCGAGAGACACGGCATCTAATCAAGGTCGCTTAGCACTAGCTTGCGATAATCGCAATCCTTCAAGTAATCACTAACACCAATGTAACGGAATAGCCGACAACAATGTTGCAAGTGCCAGCTTTTCAACATGAAAGAGAAACTATCCAATCAAAAGAATCGACTTAGTTGCGTTGCATGATATCATGCATGTACAAACCATTTATAGCTGCGGATCCGGCGTTAGCTTCGAAGTATTTGAGTTGCGCAGAAATCAGGCCATTCTTTAATATAGAGTCTTCGGATGTACAGAGCAAGTGGAGACAAAAGCCGATCAGGCTAAAGATTCTTCAATGACATATGCCAACAATACAAACTACGGGTACGTGGGTCTGATATCGGTTCCGGGACAATTTGTCCGGGGAAGGAATGTACGTTACACTTACAGTTCGGCGAAAAAAAGATTGGAGGCTTGGCAATCTTTAATTGACTGTGTCGTATATCCGTGACAATCACCAACATATCCCCTCGGTTAGATGTCAAGGTACTAATGGGCAGCTACCGTTAACCCTGCTCTCACAGTGAACAGTGAGTGATGAACAGGACGGATGATGTACCCGTTTTAAAGGTGATCGATGCTAAAGCAAGGTCCAACCGCAGGAGATGGAGCGAGGATGGAGCTGATGTGCAGAGAACTCAAGGGTCCATTGCCTATTTTGTCTCTTACAGTTTAGTTTTCCAGCTTTAGCATCATCTACTTGTTTTCTTCGGCCAACTGCTCACCTTGAGTTACATATATTATTAAATCTGGTCACACTACTGAGTAAGTGATGTTGTATCGTCAATGCTTATTACGTAGTGACAATTACATCCCCTGTCTCGGCACATGGAAAAACACCACTTATGCAGGGTCCATAACGACTTTCGATTCTTCAACTAATACGTAAAGAAAAAATGGATTGACTACAAGGCGTAATTGACAAGTAATTGCATTGCATACAGGTCACATTGCATGGGCTTGACTTGGCTCATGACTCGATGAAGGATAAACATTCTCTTTTCATGACTCTCGATCTTCAGGTGAGGTGAGTCGGACTGTCTGTGCCTCATCCATTGTTTGCCCACGGCACAGCACAGCACAGCACAGTCTTGGAACTGGACTGAACCCTTCTAGAACTGCGGGCCGTTCTTCTTCAACGGCCTATGTCAGAATCGACAGAATCGGCATTGACTTCACAATGCCATACCTAACACGGCATCTTTGTTCTAGAATTTTGGATCATCCTCGTATCCTGACCTGTCGCCGTCCCAAACCTCCCGCCCCCTGGTGCATTGGATCGTGTCGCTTGCAGCTATCATCACCATCGCCCCAGACTTTGATTTCAATCTTTTAATTAATGAAAACTGTTGGCCTTCTTCTTTAGGTAAAGTAACCAACTTGGCAGACCCGGTGATAATTAATAGACATCGCACCATCTGCATCATATATCCGTGCTCCGCGGATCGACGGCGACTTTTCTTATATAGTCCAACCGCATATGCGTCATGTTCATGACTGAGCGCGCACTGGAAGCGCATCAGTTTCCGATTGGACATTTCAAAAGTTCATATGCAAGCGTTTAAAACATCTCATCGAGGTTGTGTTTGTCTTGCAAACTGCAGTAGACATATGCGGTCCAAACCAATGGGACACTTTACATGTGACTTCGGTTAGAATGGGCGTTGACGTCGTTCCTCTGTTCTACTACCACTCTAGTCGGGTAAAGGGTAAAGGATGCGGACCATCCAATTAAAATAGGTGAAAGACTTGTGTTTCTATAATTAAGATATGACAAGTCTGAATGAAGGAGTCGCAATAGACGCATATGGCATATGTCTGATCCCAAGTTCAACTCTAGTCATTCACTCATGCAGAAAATGACAGAATCAGAGTCACACTGAGACAAACTGTGATAGACTGGGGGTTCGGACTTAATTGAAGGGACATATACCAGGGGTACCCCTGCCACAGATCCCCTGTTGAAGATCGTTCCATGGCAGCTGGAGGTTGTCTCACCAGCCAGAATGTCCCCGGGGAACTAAAGAACTAATCGTCAAAGCTACTGTACTAAACTAAATTAGCCGAGAAACGCAAGCAGCTAATTAACCAGGAATCTGGTCTGTGTCTTGTGTCTGTGACAAATGGAATTATTCCCGAATGCGTGGCCAGGCAAGGTAAAAAGAAGCGAAGCGAAGCCAAGACGAGACGAACCCCTGAGCATCACTCGCACACATCCATTGTCACCATACCATCCATTTCAGTGTCAGTGTCAGTGTCAGTGTAGGTTATCGCGCTTAGCTGAGTGAGGCTATCGCCGCTCAACCGCCCGAGCGACCGGTGGGACAACCACAAGCCTCATTCTCACCGCTGAGGCGGCCGCTTAAAGACGCCTCACATTTTGTCCTGTAAGATGCCATTCATCCGGGCCTCAACGTAGTCCGATATTGCTTTTTAATCGCAGAGGAATTGCACTTTACCTCGACTCTCATTGAGTGGGTAGTATACGTCAAGTGAGAAGTGAAAACGTCACACACCACCATCCAAAGCTGCACGATCTTAACAAATCGGATCCATCTTTGGATATCGCGCCAAGTTTCGGTTTCACTTTCAGCCCTTTCAACAGACGCCATCTGCACGTGGCTGCAGACTTTACCCTAACAAAAAGTCCCTGGAAAATTAATGGTACCAACTGTAGGTACCCGAGGCCTCCGCTCCATTCTTTTTTGCCCACGATCTGAACTTAACTTCCATGGGAAATTTACATACGTCAAAGACAACGGAGATAACGATCGTCTTGTTTTAGATCGTGCAGATCTTTTTGAATCAGAGGATTAGTGATCAATCAAACCGTTTCTTTTGAAGCTGATCTACTCTCTAGCGGCTGGTTACCTCACTGGACCTTTGGAGGCGTAAAGTCTAAAGCCAACGGTCTCGGTTTAATCGGCGTATCGTTATCCCAAGATAGGTTCGACTTACCGTGTTTCCGTAGATATTTCCAATGCGAGTTAATCTTGTCTTGGCAAGAACCGGTAAATCGGACTGACGTTTACTGTCCGTAGTACGTACATACAGAAGCAAAGCAAAGCAATCCCCTTGCTCAAGCCAAGCCCTCCCCACCGTGGATCCAACTGGGCTGTTCCCAGGTGGCCACAGGGATCGTGAACTAACCTGACCTCAGAGGTGAAGTCAGTCGAGCCAAGGTGTAGTAGTAGAGTAGCCCGGGGTGAGGAAAAAAAAGTACATGCCCGGACTGCGCACAGGGATCGGCCACACAGGGCCAGGGCTACCACACCTGCAGCACTCGTGGAGGGGGCCTTGCTCAAACTTGACAGTCCAGTACTGTTCCTTATTAGGCGAGTAAACTAAGCTAAGGTAGGGGCACTTGTGGAAAACTGCCGGATTTCCATCCCACTACTAGAACTTAATACCTCGAACTACCTTTCCAATTCTCTCTGTCTTCGCCTCAATCTTCGCCTTGCTTTATCATCACATCACATCTCATCACACACCAACCAAACCGCCTTCCCTTCATCTCCTGCTTTGACTCAAACAAACAGCCCTGGATCTGGATTTACTTTTCCCACACCGAGACTGCACACTACTGTTGGTAATAAACCAATCTGCTGTGCTACCAAGACAAGACAAGACAAGACAGGGTTCTCTTTTACGAATCTATCGAATCTCTTATCCACCATCCTTGAACAAAGTCAAGTCAAGTATATCACCAACTTGCTTTGACCCTTTCGACGAATGAATCCGCCTTGCCCATACAATCTTGGGAGTTATTGTTCCGCCGCGTTTGAATCCTTGGGACGGTCACAGGACAGGATAAGGGATGATTTGATGGGGTCCTACATACCGGCATCAAGTTTCCCAGATATGCTTATAGACCTTCTGGTCCTAAATTGAGACGGAGGCATATCAGTGCCATGTAGACGAGGCTCAGTCTGACCATCTCTACTGCTACTACTACTACTTAATTGCCAAACCGAAATCATGCCAACACTCACCATTGCCGTCCAACCTCCTTCTCGCGCCCGAGTATCCACGATCCTGCATCCTCCGCTGGTTGCAGAGTTGACTTTCAAAGGACCGTTGCCTGGGTATTACTTCTTTGCCACGGCGTTATTACTCACTCGCAATGGAGACATTGTGGAAGGGGGCTTGGCGGGGAATACTTCGGTTACAGGTGTAGATCTCACGGCGCATATCGGTTCCTCGAGGACAACGATTTATTTCCCGTTTACTGACCTTGGCGTCTTGGCCGAAGGCTCTTATAAGATCAGGGTGGATGTGTACAAGGTTTCCTATGATAATCCGGACGGTTGTACCTATCAAGAACAAACCAAAAGCAGCCGCATCACTGTTGTTAATGAGGAGGTCCCAGCCGGAAACCCGAGTAAGCCTTTTCTACCATCTCTCCATTACACTCATGTCGGGTACTAACGAATATTAGGCTCTGCTGAGCGTGGTGTAATACGAGCCCTACAAAGCGTGGGCGCCCAGATCCCTTAACAGAGGAGAGCAGCCAACCGCGTCGCCACAGTTTAAGATTCTTTTCACGTCAACTTTCAATAATGAGTGAAGCAGCTAGGATGGCATGAGACATGACAAGCCATGGGATGAATTGGATAGAATCAGGATGTGCATAATTTCTTGCTTTTTTGCTTTTCCTTTTCAGCGGCGGCGCAGGTTTTGGGGATATGAGTTGGTTGTGTACAGTGACACGGCATTACAGCATGCTATGCTACCTTGACGAGTTGGCATCTTTCTTGGATGAGACAATCGAGTAAATACCTTGCTTTAAACTTGATAGAGTTGACTCATCACACCTCTCCGCGTCACGAATTTCAAAGAATCATACACATGCTGGCTGGAGCGAGACAACAAGCTTACGCTACTGAATTAGTTACATCAAGCTGTGCAAACGGACAGCTGTGCATAATATACTACGTCGTACAGCAGAATTCTTCTTAAATATAAGCAGGAATCGCGCTACATGACCGTGTCTATACGTAATCGTGACAGCCAAGGCAGCTTACCGAAGGTGTTGAACAAGGGTCGGGGATTATTTTTCGGAGTTGTCAGTCCATGCTGTTATAGGCACTTTAGGCGAAGTGTTGTCTGTCATGACGCCACGCGGCTATTGAGGACAGCCCTTTCTCGGACATGGTCCGGACTTGTCACGGGTATATCTGATTGGCTTGACGGACCAAAGGCCGATGAGATACGAATGGCTGTTATTAAGTGCATGGTCTGAACATGCTGTATACGTCAAAGGGTTGCATTGATTGGTTAAGGGACCTTATTCCCCGAAGGAGCCTTAACGGTAGTCTATATGTGAGATATCCAACGGTTGAGCTGCTGCCGGAAGAGTTGTCCGTCTGTTGAAGCATAACATATCAAATAAGTTATCTTATACTACCTTGGCTTAGAGTGACATTTTCAATACTTTATCTCGGCAGCCTAAGCCTTAGAAGGCATCTCCTCTGTCCTCTATCACTTACCTACTACCTTAGGTCGCTTACACGTATTCTTTGACGAGTGTAACGGTAGCATGACAAGGGGTCGAAGGATGTTTAAACTACCCTTCTGGAAGTCGCCGAGATCTCACCGAAAAGAACATCCTCAGATCCTTCCCTACCTTGAGCATCAATCTGCAAAATCGCCTACAGTATCCTGGTTTGGGAACTCGCAGTTGTGTTCACTCAGATGCCGATCCCGATCCAATCAACTCAACATCTTGGAGTGTCTCCATTGCCGTAGTATATCCAAACCAGGATGTCCCAGAATCGTACGATCTCGGATTAGTGGATAAGTCCGGATATGCAGTCAACATGATCTGGGGACGCCAATCCCGATGTCCTGGTCCGATCAACGGTAGAGTGGACCAAGCGTCGATCGAACTCGTCACCAGGAAATAAGGCTATGACTTGTTTTCTTTTTCCTGTAACAGGGACTTCTGGGAAGGATGCAGAATGATCGAGTACAGTCCCCAGGGGTGTAATTTGTCACTTGGACTAGGTACTTTAGCTTAACTACGTGTAAGTATCTGTCAATTGTCTCTAGACTTGCTACTACGTGAGATAGAGGCCAGTAGAAAGGTCTCAATAGAGCGGAATATACGTGCGGAATAGCAGAAATCAACAAAATAAACCCCTGGGGAATGTAATATGTGGGACAGAAACAGGATCTCTTTAGCTGAATCAACTGTTTGAGGCCCCTGTGACAGATGCCGGTCCGACAGTCTGTGCTATCCAATATCAACGGTCGGCTAGACGTCATGATGAGAGTAACGATGTACGGAAATATTCCGGTTCGAGGATCAGGGTGAAGATGAGGGATGATAGATGATGCATTTATTTTGTGTTGTTGTAGATGATTTGATTAGAGATCCTAAAGTTTGAAGCGCTATGTCTCATGAGGAAATTAGTTATTGTGTGATGAGCTGTTCAGCAATCTCTTGTAAATTGGCTTCACGATGTTGTCGACAGGTCACGTGAGTCGAAATCTGGGTTCTGATTTTGCGCCCGGGGGGCTCAGATTCCAGGTACGCTGGCACTATCACGTAGGGCTGATGGACCTGTAAATTTGGGTAGGAATGGCACCCACGCAGCATTTTTCTGTTAGCGCTGTTGTACCGCCACCAAACGGAAATTTCTCCAAGATCCCCTCACATCAATCAGTTCATCAGATCCGACAAAGGCCATTTCGCGCCCTGAAAAACTCATATTTCTTACTATTCGATTGAAGCGAAATCAGGAGAGTGTCCCATAATGGTTTATTACTTCACCTCCAAGGTCGTCGAGCCGGCGGGCTTCATTTACGTCGGCAAAGACAAGTTCGAGAGTATGATCTACACCCAAGCACATTTCGCTGTGCAGCCATTACTGTTTTCATGCGGGCTGAGACTGGATGATAGATGAGGACCTTATCAAGTTTGGCTGGGAAGAGGATATCTGGTAGGGAGCTCTGTGAATCAAGATGAGACTGGCGAGTGCTAAATGAGATGTAGGGTGAGATAATACCGGCAGACAACTGGACGTCAGAAATGCTGATGCTGTGATTAGTTTCACGCAGATAAACTCTCCAGCGCACATATCTACCTTCGCATGCAGGAGGGCCAAACATGGGATGCCCTTCCTGAAGAACTGGTTATGGACCTTGCTCAATTGACAAAGGCCAACTCCATTGAAGGTACATCGTCACTCACCACCCACGACCGCAGCACCTTCTAACCATCATCCAAGGCAACAAGAAAGACAATGTCACAATCATCTACACACCCTGGTCCAACCTCAAGAAGGACGGCAGCATGGAAGTCGGCCAAGTCGGCTTCAAGGACCCCCGCAAAGTGAAGCGCGTCCTCGTGCCTCAGCGCGAGAACCCCATCGTCAACCGTCTCAACAAGACAAAGGTGGAGAAGAAGCCCGATTTGAAGCAAGAGCGGGATGATCGGCTCAAGGAATTGAGGCGTCGCGATCAGGCTGATTTCCAAGCGAGGGTAAGTCTGAATGAGGGTAATGGAGAAAGTTGGGGACTGACGATGTGTTACAGAAGAAGGAAGAGGCGAGGCAAGCTCAGGAGTGGAAGGAGAAGAAGTGGCAGAAGGATCATGCTTATGATGATATCTTTACTGAGGAGAATATGGTTGGTTCGAGTAACCAGGACCGTGATGAGAACTGGGAGGATGACTTCATGTAAAGCATCTAAGAGGGTAGGGCAGTACAATTTACCACCGACAGCTATGGTACAAAGCATACACTTTCGTCTATCACCAAGTTCCTGGATACTTCGGTGTCAATCGGGGAGTACTTGCGTGATGCTAGGATTCAACAGCATGGTATTGGGAACTTTCCCTCACTGTGCTTGCTTTGTACCACGTGTCTGCATCGGAAAGCTAGCTCGGTGATATCTCATGTCAGGCTGGACGAACTAGTCCTGCTCGTGATTCTCCCTGACTGTTCTTGCATAGCGTACGCCAATGGCCTCGTTCGCCAACAACCAAGGGGCTGTTTCGATTCGACCTACCAGATCCCATCTCATCTAATTTGCATGAACTGGCTTTCTCATTTCTACATCGTGTTATCGCCGACGCATCACTAATTTGAACATCTGCCTGTTCCGCCTGCTCCGACCGCACAGGCTGCTGAACTGCAACTAGGAAGGACAGAGCATCTAGGCTTCCATGACAGCCGAGCACATTCAGGCTACTATGAAGTTATAAACTAGGCTTCTGCGATGGAAGTGTTCGTGGCGGAGTTGGGCATCAACAAGTGCTCGTGCCATGAAAAGAGGGCTGTTCGAAGCAGCGAAATCCCTCTCGAGACAGGTTTTCCGGACGATTGGAGTAGAGTTAGAATGAATCAACACATCGATTACGATGAAGAAACTTGTTGCGTTGCGCGTCAGTAAGGGCTATGCGAATTACGAGTGCGTAATGAGAATAGTCCGGCGAACTGACGAATTTGCCTACGTATGTCTCTTTGCTCCCAATTGGACCCATCCAGCTACGCAAGACAATCGGTGAAGCCAGATCATTATGGTATCGTGAGTTTCTGGTGTAGAATTGAAGTAAATCAAGAGATCGAGATTAGGTGGTGTAGTTGAAGCTGCTGGGTTGACCAAGAAGTCCAAGCTATGAGGGGCGGACAGAACATTACTATTGGGCGCATCTTACAATTTGAGCTTAAAATCATGCAATCAAATTAACCCTTTCATACTAGAAGGAAGTGACGTCTTGATGCCGGTTTGTGGAAGATTGACAAGATGTTGGATAGCGTAATCATGTAAGTCACTTGGGCCGCTTGTGAGTTACGCAACCACATCAACAGATGCTAGAATTTGATGCACCCTGTACAGAATCTGGGTTATTTGAGTTCGATGACATCTAAAGCAAACAACGTATCGATTAAAGTATACTGGTTGCAATACGACGCTTTAAACTCGCTCCAAGGACCTGCATTTCGTCTCTGAGAAGGAGAACTGAGCGCACCCATCGTATCATAGACACAGCATATGGCGAGATTCAGAAGCCCAAGATTGGATCGGATAGACAAATTAATTTGTGATATCTTACCTGGGCAGTTTAGATTACAATTGACAAGGGGTGACAGGCAGCTGCATTCTTCATGAGGAAGGTCATGTGATCTGGGTCTAGATGACGGGATCTTGGCCAATCAGACAAGCGCTGATCATTCAGGCAGCAGCATTTCCAGATTATGAGACCGCGAATGGGCCGCCGCCAAAGATCCGCTTTGTAGGCAACCAAATAAACTGCTTCTCTCAACAAAAATAACAACAACAGTCAAGCCCATATCTTTAATCAAACATTACATTACCTTACATCACTGTTCTTGACTCCTTTTTGCATGTGACTTTTATACGGCTAGTCAAAATGGAGAGCCTCAACTAGGACCAAGACCCGAGCCCCGCATCAGATCGCCATCAAGCATATATCTCATCGGACTTGGCATCAGCTTCATATACAAAGCAAAGCATATCCATCTCATACT